TCCTACGAGATTATATTAGCACTCATTGAAATCAAAATCTCAGTGCAGAATCAGTGACGTCACTGAATTAGGGAATAAATCGTTTTATTTAGTTTCATAATAATTAGAGCTCCCAGCTTACAAAGGTTAAATAAAGAAAAGTTTAAATTTAAGTAAATAAACATTTTTATTCCCTTTTCCTAATGACTCAGAACCTTAGAAAAAAAAAAAAAAAAAAAAAAAACTAAAACTAAAACATTTTTACTTTCATCAGAAGGATTGAAATTTTGTGTTTATAATATTTTAATGATAATAATACTATTTCAAAGCTTCATGTCACACATTTTCAAAATTATTATTAACTTCATGTACTTTGATTGTAGAATCATTCTAAGTGACAAAAAAATTCTGCACTTCTCATAAGAAACGAAAATTTGAAACTTGTATATTATTTTCTCACAGCTGGGAAACAATATACAATCACAATATTATTAATAATAACAAAGAATTTCTAGAAGCTGTTTCTAAATATAACTGCAGAAATTTAGCGTAATCACAGTGTCAAGAAAATAATATAAAAATTGAAAATAAAATAAATAAAATCTATTAATATCACAGATTTCTACATTGTCTGTCAATTTCATTTTTTTAAAGTGAAATGTAATCATTCTGACTTCAATATAAATTTTGAGAAAAAGTTAGATCGGATTAATTAATAGTCAAATTGTCATACATTAATTCAAATTTAAATCAGTCACTTTCTTATTACCATCTGATGAGTTTTTAGGAGGGATGTGATGGATATTTGACCATATTTTCTATGGGTTAGTTTAGAGTTCTATAGGTTAGTTAGAAGTTAGAACCATGTATAATAATGGAATGAAAGAAAATAACGAAAATAATTCTTACCTTACCTCATCCGACATATTTGAGTATCAAACACCGATTATTGTTTCGCTTTAGCAATTCATGCTTTATCTGAAGCATTATTTCAGAATGAAGCACAGGTAAAGACAAAATAGGAAATTATAATCCTTGATGATAAAGATACGTGCGAAATATTAACTCTTAACTTGTGCTGTGATCTACAGTTTTGACCTTTTAAAGTGGCAATGGTTAACATACGCTTGCAACGTTTTGAACTGTTTACATTGTGCAAGCTGATGGGAGACAACACCTACATCAACATTTTCTTACAGATATACAGTTTTCTAGTATTTAAAATGGATTCTATAATTAAGCAAATAATTTCATTCATCACTGTATATAATTATAAAATTTTAGTTTCTTTACTCACTGTCCATTCCAGATGAAACATTTCTCGAAAAATTGTTTAATTTCCTACTCCAAACACCAAAAATGCAATATTATTATGCAGTGATTTCAAGTTGTGTTCACGTATGAAGCGTATATAATGGGAAATTATGTTTTGCTGAAAAATATTTTTATATTTTTCTCTTGTTATTTTGAGAGATAGAATAATTATGCCAAATAAATTCGGCATTCAAGATTAACAGTATTATAGTTTGTTGGTCAATATTATAGTCTGAATAGGCCATTCAAAATTCTTTTCTCCTCTCGGTTTCCCTGGTAACTATGATGACGGCAACTGCAGAAAAGTCCCCTCGTTATTTTTTCGCCATTTCATTTTAGTTTATGAAAATAAATTTAGTTTATGAAAATTAATTTAGTTTATAAAAATAAATTTAGTTTATAAAAATAAATTTAGTTTATGAAAATAAATTTAGTTTATAAATGAAACACATTTCATCAAAACTGCACGAATGAAAGCTAAAATGAACTACAGCGCTAGATGAGGCGGAGAAAACAAATAATGTATGGTGATTAGGGTGTATGGTGATTGCGATTGTAAACGAAAGAGTGTTGTAAAAACTTACATAATATTTTATTGTCTAACATAAAATATTATGAATTCTTATCAGTCTAACATAATATTTTATTGTTTAATAGAATCCATCTTATCCTGTAATTGGAAGTTTTCTTGTTAAAATACTTTATCGCGAGTATAATTTCCACTGCCAGTTCTAATAAAATGTACTCAGACAGAGACATGCTCAGTCTATTTGCAGAGACCATTAGATTTTTCAGAGCAAGAAACAAGAAAATAAACTGTACTGTCTCCATTTTTCGAAATACGGATTTTCTGATAGCTAGACGGGCGTACTCATTACTTACACCATGATAGCGAATGCGATAATTCCTTGCATTCATCCAATTAAAGCAGAATGGGAAGGGGCAGGGAACCTGTTCTACCCGATCTAAGTGATGACGAATTATCTTTAAGTAAATTTATAAAGTTTAAAGTCTTTCACTATTGGAAATTGTGACTAGAAATCTTTGTAGGCGTTAATAGACTTATCGCTAAGTTTAAAAAATATGCTAAAAAGTGTTGTCTTTATCTTCTGTATGATATTCGTTCAAAAGTACCACAGAGACTTAAACTACATGCGTTGAACAAAAGGAACTCCAGCTGCGTACAGTTCGCCAATTTTTATGGAAAGAACTCAAGGTTGAAATTGAAATTTAAAGCTAAATTTGAGTAACTAATAGCCAAAGTCTACATAGCGTAATTTAACACGAAATTGGCTCGGACTTCACCGGCGCGAATTTAACTATCGGCAAGTATAATGCAAGGCCGAAGACTTATTTGCTTTCTGGTTGTGAAGCGGAAAGAGAGAACGGACATTAAAAATTCCAAGTATAAAAGAACTAGTTATTCTAATTAGATAAACCTCACGTATTTTTTATGCACATATTCAGGCGCTATTTTATAAACTATTAAAATTTCTGGAAGAAACGAAAGAAATCCCTTGTAGCCTCTCCGGCCTTTGAACCACGGATCTTCCGATAGCTGTGTGACCACGAGAACACACAAGTGATTAATGTGATTATTTCCTATACTCTCGCCTCAGAGGCATTACTTAACATCTTCCACTTAAGAGTCAGCTTTCCTGTTTAAGTGCAGTTGAACAAGAACACTGCTAATGATAATTTAAATATAGGCAATCTTATCCTTCAGGTCAGGATTGTTATTTTTTCATGTGTTTGAATATGTAAATAAGTTAAGAAATTAGTTATTCTCGATCAATACAAGTAAGATGATTATATTCTTTTACAGACATTTAGTACAATGAATTATCTCCCATCTATTAAGTTCATAATATGCTGCTACAATTAATAACTATATAATATTTTTCTCTAGATTCACGAAATGAAGATTATTTGCTTTTTTAGAATTATAATTTTTTTGTCCAAAGGGGTAATTTGCCCAGAAAGATTATTAATTTCGTTTTGGCATTTTTCGTTGACTCACTATAAATGTCGGTTCACTTTTCAAATTGCTTCCCCCAAATATTAGAGTCCTGTATTATATTTAAGGAAATTAAATAATGAAGAATCTGCTTGAATGCATGCATGTTTCTCGCATTGTGATAAAACAATGGTACCTAGACTCATCAAATTTTGAATAACATATGTTTCCACTCGAAAACGGGTACCTGGAAGCCGAAATTTAGAATTTGGAATTTGTTTTATTACCTATTTCATATTTTCTAAAACTCTAACGAATTTTTGATTAACAAACTCAACGATTTCAAAGAGAGCAATTACAATATTGTACAGAAAGTAAAACATTGTTTCCTCCAGCGCGCGGAACTGTGTATCGGAAATTCTAAAGATACGCTATTTTAAATATTTTATGATGTTGCTGTTGAATTGAATTTTATGTTTAAGTGCGAAGAACATGATATTTAATAAATAAAGGTAGGACACAAAACGTTAAAAAAAAACGACCTTTTGGGCGTAATGTAAAATCTGAAAGCTTTCAGACTTTTATATTTTTCTTTTTTTTTTTTCTGGTATTTTGAATTCAAGATAATTTTGTATTTTCAGTGGGTAACAAATTATTCCTCCTGACTTATGATAAGAAATTATTCGCTATGAGTAACATTTGTTTAAAAGATTTTAATTGTTGCTTTTTAAAATTTGCGTTGAACTAAAATGGTGGATTCGAAGAAGGGAAAAAGGAATGTGTTAAATAAGGAAATCAAACAAATAATACCAGAAAGCATTAATTAATTGCAAGTATGTAAATCATATTATGATATGTGTTAGAATAAATTAGTGTCATTTTTGCATAATGAAACTCGGTAACGTCAAGAACAAACGAGGGCAAATGGTATATTGGGCGAGAGAAGATTCTACTTGAGTTTCAGATGAAAAGAAATCCTAAAAAAGAATTTGTGCTAACGTTATATTTGTGCTTCATTCTTTTTCAGAATGTTACCTTCTTTTATGGAACATACTCCTGATAATATTGCCAAATAGGTAAGCCTGAAACTATTTAAAACTTATAAATGAGCCTTTCGTAACTTCTGTATTGCAATACTTCGATTTAAATGTTTGTAAAGACTGTTAAGACTGTTAACTTTGATTTGTATTATATTTGAGTTTAGCAAACTCTAACTTGTTAAATAAAGATTTCAGAGCTATTCTAACTTATGATTCTTTAATAAAACTATGCTAAATAGAAGATAGTGTACTCAAACGCTCTAACTATATTAAATGCATGACATATAATTATGAATTGACAATCCAGAATAATAAATTAATTAAAAAAGGAAAGCGGATGAGAGGAATGGACTGCTTTATTTTTAATTAGATAAATATTTTTATGCATAATACGTACATACATTAATCAGATTTATAAATACTATTTACAAGATTGTACCGATTAATCGGCCTTTCAATTATCCAGCCTACAATTAATTTCCCCTAAGAGCAGTAAATCAAGGTTTCTAGTGATTTAATTTAGGAGATAAAATTCTTCCTGGATTGAAATCTTGGCCAATTCATACTAGCTCATAATATGCATACTTGTGTATTTTAACACAAGTAAAATAAATTCAAAGAATTACACAGAAATCTCTTAGGGGAAAAAATGTATCAGCATTTATAACGTCAACTTTGAATGCAAAATTAAGGGACAGAATATGACTTACAATAGTTCCAACTCTTTGCAAGCCCGACTGCACCAATATATTCATGCATAACAAGCAAATTGCGAGATTGCAGGTTATTGTGTTACGTCTGCTTCGAAGAGACCTGCAATAAAAATACATATTTTTTTTTTAAACTTTTAAAAACAAACAAAAAAAAAAAAAAAAAAAAAAAAAGTGCATTATTCGTACTCAAGAAATGATTAAAAGCTTTTTAAAAGATACGAAAAGTCCTCACAAAAGAATAGCACTTTGGACAGTCATTTCAGTTATATACAAATTACGTCTACGAAATTTTAGGTTTAAGTTCGCACAAAATCAAAAGTTGAAAAAAGTAACATTCTTGCCTTTTTAGCCTTCAATGTACCTTCCTCGTGAATCTTTACAAAGCTTGACTTACAGCTACATTAAATTACCTCGCAGAGCTCATCTTTTTGAATATTTTGAAGTCTCTGATTACGATTTCCTACATTTCTTCAGTACTATTAAAATAATGATAGTTAAGGTAAGCTTTCCTTTTATGGAAGAGTACCAAGTCAAGCAAATGCCAAATCTGGTGAAGAGGAAGGTTGAGAACTGTGACACTTTTCTTTGCTAGAAACTACTTGAAGAAAACGTAACTGAGTAATGGCACATTGTTATGCAGCAGAAATCAGTTATTCTTCAGTTTTTTTTATAGCCTAGCTCACTGGATTCTCTTCAGTTTTGTTAATTATGTTTTAATGAAATACGAATATTTTTGGTATTTTAATTTAACATTTTTATGAAATATTTATGAAAAAAAACAATATGCCTCTCGGAAACAAGTTACTTGTAAATTATCCCTTTCCGAATTAAAAAGTATCATTAACTTGGTATTAAATCCACAATTTTTTGACCGAAGTTTGTTTCCGTGGTAAACCTTCCAAATCCAAGAATATGATTGTCGTTTTTATCTTAGAATTATAAGTAAAGAACGAAGTTTCATTACCAATCACAACTTGTTTGAGAAACATCCAAATTGAATCACATTTTGCAACTAAGTTTTATTGTCATTCTTTACTCAACTTCCCTATCCATGAAAGCAGATTCTTATTGGTGAATCCGTAATTTTCCAAGAAAACTTCACGGAAAATTCTGTCTACAATCAGGCAATATTTTAGAAAACGTAAGTTGACATATCATAGTAATGAATGTTGTCATTTACTGCTTGGCAGGTTTACCGCTTGAGATTTATTAAAAAAATAGTCCTAAAATTTGTAAACGCACTGTTTACAGATTTTCAAAATTATACACTATTTTTCTTTAATACACAACATCACACATGAAATGCAAAACATAGTTAGCAATAACATAAATTTTAAACAAAAATGACACTAGAAGCCATACATTTAACAAGCACATATAAAACAAGTAATATGATTTTTTTTTTTTAAAGTCAATTCGGTACTTTCCATTTTGCCGGCGCAAATCTCGCCAACTTTATTGGCGACAACACACAGGCGACAATACACATAAAAAATGGTTAACAAATGTTAGTTCTAAGAAATTTTTTATTTTGAAGGCATAAACATTTTAATATCTTTTAAAATTTTGTAAAAAGACAATAAATTTGTAAAAAGACATTAATTTAAGAATTTACTATGCTTTCATGGTACAACATCCTGATTCGCCGTTTCATATCACGTGACCCCAAGTGATCTCATCTCACGTAAACTACGCTACAAAAATCTAATTCTCTCAGTAATTACCTACATTAATTTCAAGTTAAATCTTAATTTGGAGTACAAGTTTAAATGCAAGAATTATTTCAATTCGTATGAATACCTTACTTAGAAATTATGTAAAACTGCAGTGCTTTACTTCGCTAGTGAATTCTCATTAGAACTGATGAATTTAACCCTTGACTTTGCCTTTTCTATATTTTTGCCTTCGGGTGAGCGGTGTGATTGCATCCTAATTGATTTAATTACCGCGAATGGCCTTAGGGCATAAAATTGAACTATCTGGTAAAAATTCTATGTAATTGTATGCCAGTATTGAAAGAAACAATCAATCTGATAAGAAATGGCTGCGACTTGTTTTGAAAATGAGGCGTAAAAGGTTACCAGCGAGAATATTCCGTTTGGCATCGGTTGTATCCATTTTTGGCGACTTTATCGCTTGCGCCGCAAAATGGAAAAATGCTGTTAATTCCTACTTAGGTCAACAAAAACAAATTTTATTTTAGTTACTTTTTATTAACATTATTAACATTCTTTCGTTTATAATTTATGAAGCTGATGGTGGTCTATAATTTCTCGTTCTATCCATCTCTTGTAATGCTTCATGATTGCAAGGAACCTTTCCAGTGAGTTCCGAGCAGTCCAGTTCTTCAAATAATATTCCATCTAATGATTTCACACGACTCAAGGCGACATATGCTTGACCTGCTGCGAAGAGTTTTCGTAGGAAGCTTTTCTTGGAGGTTATGTTTTTTTTTTTCTCTAATCGTCGCTTGCTTTGTATTATAGTTTCTTTTCGCTTTCTTTTCGCATTCTCCGTTTGTGAAGCAAGAGTCATTTTAAAGGGTTATATTTTAAACATATATTATTATCACGTTAACGTAGAAATATGGGGAGAGTGTTCGCTACAGAATGGGACATTACATCCGCTTCATCCAACTCTATAAAACTACAATTCTTTAATTCCATGCACTTTAAAAATCTTTAGAATTCTGTCTTACTGTTGCCACTTATTTTTGTTAAATATTACAATCCCATTTATCACAGTCATGTACTATTATTTATAAGTTGTTATAAAATTAATTTTTACAGCACGTGAGAATTTCTAATAAATGGTCATTATTTGTAAGTCTTATAATAATAAATGGTCATTATTTGTAAGTCTTATAATAATAAATGGTCATTATTTGTAAATCTTATAATAATAAATGGTCATTATTTGTAAGTCTTATAATATATTTAAAAAGCCAACATATCTTTAGTTCCGATAAACTGGAATAAATAAGTAGCAATTGGCTTTAATATGTGAAAAACTGTATTAACATCAAGTGTCATCCACTACAAGTTTAAAAAAATGTATTTTAACTTCGGATAAACAAAAAGCATTTTATTAAAGACCGAAAATTTGAACAAGATATAGGGAGAGTGTGAGCTAACAGTAGGAATTTAATATAAAAAAGAGGATATCTGAAGTACGCATTATTTCTTGCTACTTTCTACAGAATATTCTGGGCATTTCAAAACTTTCTTGAACATCGACGATATGTTGCATTAGAGATGTGGATGGTTATGTCAAATTTTACTCTTTAAGAGGTAGGCGTGGGTTAGCTCTGAGGATGTATGAGGAATAGTTTCAATTATCGATACAGAACGTTCGACGGCAAGTATAAGAAAGTCAGCATAAGATTCAATCTGTTTGCAGAATTCATGTTATATATGGGCTTGACGCGTTGATAAAATAAGTAATGGGAGTACTAAATAACAGTAAAGTGATAGTTAAAAGATGATATATCCCTTACGGCCGATTCCTGCATCCTGCATAGAGTACTATTTTTTTTTTTCTTTTTTGTGATAGCTAGCAATTTTTACATTCGAGTGGTCCAGAATGTAGGTGGTTAATTGGGGTTTGGTTTGTGATATCTAGTTTATACAAGGTTGCACATTCTTATACTTCTACTACTTTTTGATTTCTGGATTTGCTATTTAAAGCGAATTGTTATTTCTGAGAAATGATCTGTAACGGTATGAGGATTAGCAATCTGTTGTCTGTCGGTCTATCATTAATGCTAAACATTTAGATGCAGTTTTTATACAAAGTAGTTCGTTAAGTATCACCTTGAAAAAAAAAAAAAAAAAAAAAGAATATTGCAGAGTGTTGCAGTTAAATGGACATTCATAAGGAAATATATCACTCTGGGACTTACCGAATAGTCAAGATGAGAGCTATAGTAAGTGTCAAAGCCACCATGGAGAAACAGCTGAGTATGAGGGACAACAGGCTCAGAATTTTTTCATCTATTTCACTAAACTTAAGAACACACAAAAAACAAGAAGTAATATTATTATATCCATAAAAATCCAAAATTTGGCTTTAAATATTATATAGCAATTAAAATTTCCTAAAACATTACTTCATAGATATTTCAGTGTTGATCTCTAGTTAAAACTTTTTTGATAACATTAATAAAAGCCAGCAAGTAAACTGCATTTAGTAGTAGGACAGCAGTATTAGTAAAGTGAATTTTAAATCCGAATTAATGTACATTATTGATTAAAGTGCATTGTAATAACATAGTAGCTGTATTACCCCATAACCGGCAAAGTCCATGAGGATGGCAAAATTTGTCAGATGATCACATTCGCATTCTGTGTAGGAATCACTTGAGTTGATCACACGACAGCCATTTGTGTCCCAAACTCCATATTTAGTGCTCCTGATAAAGGAAACAGGAAATGTTACATCTCTGAGGCGTTTGAAAAAATTTAAAGACTTAGTTTCCTTAAATATTGATTCTTGGGCATGAGCTTATGTCAACAAATTTTCTCAAAATGTGGCGGAAAATTTCGAAAACAGTTTTAACGCTTTTGCATTGAAAGGTCTTTAAATATAGCGTTTAAACTTTTAGTTTGGCTTAATTTGTTGAGTTACGGTAAAGCATGTGAGAGATATTTGCTCAAGGGGATGTATGCCTTCGTGGGCGAATTTATAATGGGAACTAGCTCACATCCACGTTATACAAGGATCCCGAAAACGCCCATGTAGCCAAACCGTTCGTCTTGAATCGGACCTAGGTCGAACTACCAGTGTTCATGACTTTACCACCCGGCCGCTAGAGGGGTCTCCACAAAGCAAAATTCCAGTTGTGGGCTTACACTAAGCTATTTGTCTATTTGATCCCTATTTAGACGATCATGCTTATTATCATGATATTAGACTTACCATGCCATCCTTGAAAACAACCACAGATACAGAAGAAGGTTTAAACAGATCTTTTTATTAAAACTTTGAACTTTAAAAAACGTACAATTTGGGGTCATAATTTAATCTCCATGGCTTGCTTTGTTTCAGATAACATAATAGTTGAATCAACATTTGTAATTTAGCTCAAAATCAAAAGCCTATCAAGCGTTGGCTTAAGCTAATTTTGCGTGAGTAACTCGGCTGAAGAAAGGGCTAACGCTGGATAAATAATTTCCAAAAGTGGGTGAGAAAATAGAACAATCGTCATCAAAACTCTCTAACTTTCAAGAGCTCTGGTCTTATATATATACGTGTCTCCTTTACAGTTTGCTGAGAGCTGACAAAAAGTGACAGTGCAGTTCAAATAATAAGATAATGGTTTAATTAATCTAAATCTTACACAGTTAGTAAAATATTTATTTACTAACTACATATTTTTATATCTAATGAGTTATAAACAAAGGTTCATATTTTTTATGCAAAATTTACTCAGATACTTAAGTTTTACTAACGTTTATTTTATTTTAAATCTTTACTATCACTTCTTATTTTCTACTTCCGGCCAGAATTAAAAGCGTTAACTTATTAATGCAAAAATTGTCTGGCGAACGCCAAGTACTTAAGTTGTGGCTTTTTGCCAAGCGAGAGAGAGGAAGGAGTTAGTCGAAGCAGGCAGCTTGCCTTAGAAGTTTTACTCGGTTGCTGGTTGCCTTCCAGGCCAGAGGTTTAATCCTCGTGATAATTTTAAACGTATTGTAGTGTTAACAGTTCTCTGTACTACATACGGCTTCCTGTTAATATACGGCCAATCTTCCTTGTTTATTATTCCAAAGTTAAGTTAGAGTTTAGTTAAATATTTTTATATTCTTACGTTCAGACAACAAGTAGTTGGTCTCTGTATTCCGAAGTACGGAAATTATTGTAAAGAGTGAAAAAAAAAAGGGTTTTGTATACCCTTCCTGTGTATCCTGTCTACTTCCCACATTTATTGAACATAGCTTTAGTAAGCTCCCTGTTCCGAGTCAGGGTCTTTGCATGTTCCCAAAGAAAGTAAGGCGGAACATTGAACCTGATAACTTGAGAAAGAATTTACTTATTAATTTTATTTTACTATGCTTATTAGCGATGTAAATCAGGGAGCGTAAAAGACAGTTAAGAAAATAGCTACGAAACAACAGAATGATAGTTTAATGTATCGAGTAAAATAGCATTCGTTGTTAGATATGCTACTGATTTCTTGAAAATATCTCTGAAATTTGCGCTTAAATCATTTAATTGTTGGGTATATTTTACTGTTCGGCATATCTGCTTTACAAGAAATAAATACACCCGGAAGAAAATATATTTAGAAGTATATAAAAAGTCAGATATAATTTTTATGGAAGTTAGCAAAAAAAGTCCATCTACAGAGTTGAAACTATTTTCATAAATTTATCTTTCTTCTTTCGTGAAACTTCAGCAGGAAGTATGAACAATACTTAAGGAAATAAAATTAATGTCCATTTTTTTCAGAGAGCTATTGATTTTTTGTTTTTAAAGTATTGTTCTCTATATTCTGTATAAAACAAGAGAAAGAATTACAAAAGCTTATAGTCACGGCATTTTCTGTGAAAAAAATATATTTAGAAAAAGCATTGTCAAGTAAGAATTAAGCACCACCTATTGTAGAAAGACAGAAATATTCACTTCGCCATCTGGATTTGATTAAGCAACATACCAGAGCGTGTACTAGTACTGAATGTAGTAAATACCGTCAATAAACATATCAGTTCTTTTCTTATACAGTTCACTAATTAGTTTAGAATTAAAGAAACATAGTATAAGTGATGCAAATTGTTAACAAATGTTTTTAAATTAAAATAAAGTCTTAGCAATAAAATTAAGAAAATAACATTAAATGTCAGATTTAAATTAAAAAGAAGAAAGAACATTCATAAATTTTAATCTAACGAAAATAATATATATATATATAGCATACTTATAGCTGCAGCTTCAACAATATGAGGTAAAAATACAGTATTAAACCGAGAATTTTAGTGATAAAAAGAACGGAAATTGAAGAATGTAGAAATTATCTCCGCCCCAACGATAACTAAAAAATGGAAAGAATCATGAAAATGAATTTATTGTTATAATCAAATAAAAAATTAAAGTATATACGTTGGTGTATTTAATTATGGCAAAGCACACGAGTGCTATCTGCCTAAGGGGAGGTATGCCTTTCGTGGAGGACTTTCTAAGGGAAACTGGCTCGTATACACGTTACACATGGGGAAAACCACGAAAACGCCCATGCAGCCCAGCCCGTTCGCGGGATTCGAACCTCGGACCGAACTACCAGTGTTCAGCGACTTTACCGCTCGGCCACTGGTGGGCTAAAGTATATACGAATTAAATTATTAAAAAAAATAACTGCAGAGAATTTTCATTTATAAAATCAAAAATTCTAAATTTAAGCCTAAAATTTAGTAGAAAAAAATTTTTTTTTTCATAATTACAGATTTGAGAATTTATTGAAAAAAAATTTGAGGATTTATAAATTTTATTTAAAATTCTAAAATAACGTTAATGCAAATTTGCTAAAAGACTCATGGATAAATTAAAATTTTGGCCTGAAGCAATAATTTTAGAGTCAGTATTAACAACAGTTTGATTTATAAAATCATTTAAAATATAAATTACAAACATATGTATCAATTAAAAGTAGTTAGAAAATAAACTTACTTTGGATTTGAATTTTGGCGGTACAACCAACACAGTCTCACATTGAGAGTTTCTTTTCAATTTAAACATGAATTATTTAAAGAATCAATGCAAAATTAGCTTCTCTTGAAATGGCAGAACGTTTTTATACAGCTGAAGTCAATCTGTGTTTCGTTTTTGTAAATTTTCAAAACTCACCGAGTTTTCGAATGATTAAGAAGTTAGGCAGTACGAATATACATTATTAAGAAATAACATGGGAAAACAGAGTTATACTCATAAAGCTTAGGACAGGACACTCAAAATTACTTTAGTAAAAGTCTTTTCATGAAGCTTTATGTATCCTCAGTTTAGCCGTCATCTAGTTAGATTTCAAGCCAATATTTATGTTTCGACCTTAGTAGCGCCCCATTAATAGAAAAGTACGGTTTCTTTCCTTAAGATTAAACTTTCGTAACGAAGATTTTAAAATCCGCTTACTTGTTAAAATTATTCCAGTTCAGAAAAACACATTTTGGAATAGCATTCATAGGTTTCGGAGCATGATATAAGACAATTCGAAAATTTTCACTGTCCGGAGGAAGGGTGTAAGTCTCATTACTTTCTCCTAAGCTGATTCCAATAAGATCACTGGCAATGGTATAGGTTTGGAAACTTAAAAAAAAAAAAAAAAAAAAAAAAATATATATATATATATATATATAAAAATAATAATAATAATAATAAAAAGTTTAAAAAATAAGTAAACAAATAAAAATAGGTAAATATATATTTACATTTAAACTAATGTATCAAATCACTACGCAACTAGTAAGGAATAAAGTACTATGTGTACCTTTAAAAGAGACATTTGGTATCTAAAAAATTTGAATAGACCCTCGGATAATACACAATTTGAAACTCACTGTTTTTAAGTAAGAAATGCAGAAAGTAACAGCAGAAATTGAAATTATTAGGATTGGTTATTTTTCAATAGTTTCTGCGCCCAAAATGTCATATTCAGATCCATAATAATGCTGAATCTGTGTATATGTTACCGTGAAAGACCGAAATTGGAGAATGTCGACTTTCACCGGAGAATGTTAACATTCACCCAAATACGTTGGTGAAAGATCAAATATTGCATTACATTCTTGTATATTCGGACCCTCACCGGTGTATGTCGACATATATTATCATAGATATATATTATATCTATGATAATAGATAGATATATATTATCATAGATATGCTCTGGTGTAAGTCGAAAAGAGAGGTCATAAAGTGCCATAATAGTTTAAGTTGTTGCAATAAATAAGATTTGAATCACATAATTTAGTAAGTTTTTTATTACTGTTATTTATTTTATTTTCTCATTTAGAACGTACTGTATAATTAAGTAAGTTTTTAAATTCTATTATTTTCCTTTCTCATTTTGAATGTATTGTGTGTTTTAGGTTCTCATGTTCTTAACTTCTTATTTCAAATCTCAAGTGCGTTTATTCGCGACTGAATTACGAAGAAGAAAATATAATATTGTTATATGTTCAACATTCACCATTAGTACATGGTGAATGTCGACATTGTCATAAGTCAGAAATAAGACTATTTGGAAAATATTTCGGACATACACCAAGAGACTATGTGAATGTTGACATTCACCGGTGAATGTCGACATTCTCCAGATTTCGGTGTTTCACCGTAACATATATATCTTTCCCTTTACAAGAGACTTTTTCAGATATAAAGAAAGGAAGAACTCAATTGAACGAAAGCAATTTTTCTGAATAGTAGCAGCTTTAATTTTCGAAAGTTCAAGTAAATGTATAAAATTAAAAATTAAATCTATATTTGCTTGATACAGAAATTATATTATCGAAAAAAAAAAAAAAAAAAAAAAAAAAAAAAAAAAAAATAAGAACTCAGTCCCTATTTTATTTTATTAGCCCAAAAGCAACGTTGAATCCGAATCGGATATTAATATCGAAACGGCACTTTGCGTTGAATCTCTATAAACAGCGTATCACTTTTCAAATTGTTGCCACCAAATATTATCGCGCTGCATTATATTTAAAGAAATTAAATAATGGATAATCTGCATAAATGTGTGCGTGTTTCTCGCATCAAATTTTTACCGGGCACGGTCAAATTTTCCGTACGGTAGTTTTCCACCCGAACATGAACACATGGAAACCCGAATTTTGAATTTCGAATTTGTTTTATTATCTATTTTATATTTTGTAAAACTAAAAAAACTAATTTTTGATTAGCAAACTCAACGATTTCAAAGTGAGCAATGGCAACACTTTACAGAAAAAAAAAAAAAAAAAAAAACATTTTTATCTCCAGGGCGCGAGATTGTCTATCGGAAATTCTAAAGATATGCTGTTTTTAAATATTTTGCTGTGGAATCGGATCTTATATGGCATAAGCGTCAAGAACGTGATATTTAACAAAAGTAAACAAAAAACATTTTGTTTACTTTTGTTAACAAAGTTTTTTTCTTAACAAAGCTTTTTGTTAACAAAAGTAAAACAAAAAACATTAATAATAAAAAGGCAAAAAAAAAATTTTGCAAAGCCATCTTAATAAGGAAACTGAACATTGATGTGATGAATTGAGAAAAAAATATATGCCAAAACTTATAATGGCGTAAGTGATAAAATGAAGCTTAGTAGTAATGCTAAAAAGACAAAAAAAGTGCGTTAGTAGGAGTGAGTATAAGTGTGTTAGTAGGAGTCTGTGAGCTCAGAATTTTTATTTTATTTATTTAATTAATTAATTTTTTTTGCGTCTGTTTTTGTGTGTGTGTAATCAAGTTTCAGATTGTGTTTTAGCTTTTTTTTTCGCTCATAGGATTCTGTATTAACCACAATTTGCTCTTGCATTTGAAAGCAAGAATACAAGTATACGCTCAAAGCGGAATATATTATCTAAATCTGAATCGAAATACGAGTTGTCATCTAAAACTGAAGACTGATTTTTCTACTATAGTTTATTTGTGAGCTGTAGTATCCTATATAGTATTTTATGCAGGACTTAGAAGACCCCGATTTTGTAGCTTTCAACACTGAAAGAGGTTTGGTGCTTTGTAATCGTCGTTTATCTCTTACGGATATTACTAAAAATTTCCTATAGCACTTTAATACAACCAGTTTGAAAGTACTTTTGAGCTTGCGGCACGTCACTTTTCAAGTTGTTCCAAAAAAGCTTTGAATTGAATTATAATTATAATCGCATACATTACTTCAATTTTTTTCAATAGATTAGATTAATATGATTCTACTTATGAATGAGACATTTATATTAACATTTATATGAATTAATATTTGTTTTGCTAGAACAAATCCAAACTCATTAAAACAAGACTTTATACGAAATTTAGAGATGGGAAATAAAGATATAAAAACATACCTATTCGCTGGAGATAATAACTGTTCTATGTTCTTGTAAGTGGCTGTCACTCCATTTTGTATTGGTTCCTTGCACATGTGTTCAGTCTTAGCTTTGAGGTTTCCAGGTAAATGAACGTAGCCCACATCCTTTGAATTTAAGACGATATTGAGTTTATTCCCCCTTTCGTTGAGAGGAAATATCTGCATAGCTTTATTAAAAGAGAGAGAAATTAATCAAGCCAATTAGAAAGAAATAATGCAAAGCTGAAGATGTTAATTTCGTAGTTACTGTAAGTTTGTGGAGAAATTAGGTATTTTTTGAAAAGCAAGAGAGATGATAAATGAGCAATGCCCCCGCCGGGACTCGAACCACGGACTTCTCGAATTCGCGTCGAGTGTGCTGACCACTACACCACGAAGGTATGCTAAGAAGGCGGTAGAAATATCTTATAAGTTTGCTGTAGCATTTAACTCTGTAGTTACTTTTCTTTTTCTTATCGCGTGCCTTTGTTATGTAACTGGAAGCTTTCAGCTGGCAATCGAACTGTCTTCAGCTCGAATCCCGTCGAGGGCACTGTACATCTTTCATGTTTTCTGCTTTTATAAACCTGATGACTCTGCAATTACAGTTGACTGGAGAATAGCAAAAGAATACTGAAAGTAGCCGTTGTCTATGAAGATGCAAAACAGTGTTCACTAGATTTTTGAAGAAATTAATTCCGTCCGAGAGTTATTGTGAAAGAACAATATAGTGTTTGTTTTTCATTTATATTACTCGCCAAATCTTCTTCAGCATCAGTGCACGTTTTTCCATTTCCATCGATAAAGTGTAGGCTGTACACGGCGAAGTACGCAAGGGCTGTCTGCCATAAGGATGTTCTAAGAGAAACTGGCACATATGTACGTTACACATAGAGAAGCTCACAAAAATGAACGATATAGCCAGCCTTTTTGCCGGAGCCGAACTCCCAGTATACAACGGTATTAACCATTCGGCCACTGGTCGGGCAAATTAGTAGAGAATGCTTTCGTATAGTAATTCAGCGGATAAAAAACACTTAAACGGCACAGACGAAGACTCAAGAACTTTGCATGCCTTGAATAATGATGTTCGTGGCAAGATTTTAAGAATTGTTTCCATGTTCCCAGCAGTAGACAAAACGTTAGGAGAATCGTAAAACATTCCGCGTATTATTAAGTATGCCCTCATATGCAAGTGTTATATTCTTCGTTATTATCTTAAACCCTTTCATTGCCAGTTTTATGTATTTACGAAACACATACGTTTCATTGGTAGTAAGAGAACTTTCTCCTTGCTTATTGCATGCCTTCGTGACGTAACTGAAAATATGTTTGGCTGGAAATTGGAAGAGCCTGAGTTCGAACCTCGGGGAGGGCTTTTCTGAAGTTTTCTCTTTTATACTCCATGAAAAATTCTGCAGACCCTACAGCTTTAATTTTGTAAGTTATCTTGCATCCTTTCCGTTACAGATTTTTTTAAAAGATCCGTTATCTGTCATACTTTTAGATCCTTAGAAGTGAATTTAAGATCCGTTACCTATTATATTGTTAGATCCTCAGAAGTGAATTTTCTTCAACGAATTTAGTTACAGTCTAACCATTCTCAAATACGTAGTAGCTGGATAAAATTTGGAGGGTTCCTTACCTAAATTTTGCTCTTTCATTCCAGTTGTGGTATTGATACTACAAGCAATCAACCAAGCTGTTTCTTCCGTTTCCTTAATGAGATCCATTGACATCGAAATACGTTTTTCCTGCCAAGAAAAAGATATCTCTAACTCATATTGCTCTGTAGTAATATTTAGAAATTTATTTTCGTATATGTTATTTACTGCCGGCATTTCCTTAAAATTTTGATTTTCTCTTTAATTAGGTGTTATTATTTTATACGATAAGTTAATATTTTTGAATTTTGATATAAGGTGAGTTTCACATAAAAAGCTTTCCGCTGAATTTTTTGGAAACTTAAAAATAAGCATAACTTAGACGAATGTTTTTAAACCAAGGGAAACAAGAATTTTTTTAAAAAGGAATTTAAGGAAATTTCTTCAAAAGATTTACTAGTTTTAATTTCTTTCAAGGAAGCTATTCGAGTGACTTTCACTAGCTCGTATTGCTTATAAGGAACAAAGTGAAAAATTCCACTAATAATAAAATATATAAAACTATTTGCAAGATACTTCAAATTATTTCGAAGTATAAAATTATTTCTCAGTACTAAATGTTAATTTTTTTACATACTTTGAAATTTTATTGCAAGATGTATTAGTATTTATTTTTAACCCAAAAGACAATTACTTTAAACGTTGCATTTTCCTAGGAATAAGGGAGGAAAAAGTACAGATATTGTCATAATTTTGTGAACAATTTTCTAAATCATAGCATTTTTATAACGCAGCAGATATCTTACATATTATTTTAAAATAAAACCGAATTCTACAAGTTATTTTTACATATTTTACAGACTGTGCTCATCTTTGATAATGCAGACATTTTGCAATAAATTTGTTTCATCCCACAGGAGTGCCAGTAAATCAAAATCGTCGATATGATTGTCAAAATTTCGGAAATCAGTGGGGAGTGCAGGCACATTCTTGGCAAACTCCAACTACGAAACGTCGTTTGAAATTAATGCTAAAGGCCGAAGTGGTCACCACATTAACGCTTCATCTTTTCATCCTTTTGTGCAGCCTAACCGGCACTGTAGCAAATTTTGATTGGAATGCTGTCATCAGTGGTTTTGGGGGATAATGATCTCTGCGATAGTCAGCTAAATGATGGTCGTCTTGAAAAATTGTATTAATTACTGTTTTCATTTAATCAGCCAGTTTTTCTATAGATCCCATGAAATTCTCATTGCGACACAAGGACAGATGCTTATCACATAAGCAGGTCTGGATTTATCGAATATTTGCAAAATAAGTAAAAATGATCAAGCTCTGTTTCTGTGTAATAAAATTTGGTAGCTGTTGCTTTGTATATTTGTAGTACATTTTTAATTTGTTTACTTTTACTTATGAATAGGCCTGTATTTGTTGGATTAAATGCACGCTCGATAATACTTAACTTAAACAGAGTTTTAATGTTCGCAATAACTTTTATTTTTAACACTTTATATATCTGAAAGTTTTTAAGAGAAAAATCCTCTTTTTATTACCTTCATGATCTTGAAAAAAAATCAAACAGGCTTTTGTTAAAATCATTCACTGCTATACATTAAAAGTGCAACTTTATGAAGGAAAATAGCATTTATAAGATTCTGTCTCATATTCAAGCCTCGCCTGCCATGATGAACTTCCATTTCTTAACTGCCTCTTCTGCATCTATATTTTACGAACTCTCAATTATCGATATTTTAAAATGCTTTTAAACATTTGATTTATATGAAATGCTATTTACACGTCATGTGTTTTAAATTTTATTTCTCCGAGATAGGACTTTGGCCCAGAAACCCGTGTCTTGTGGCCTGTGGCCACCTAAGAAAAAATGTAAGATTCGGAATCTAACAAGCTTCGAGTGGTTGTAACGGATACTGCAGCTCAGTTCTATACTAGAATCCATCTGCCTTACTGGTGGTGGCTGGTGGTTATTATTGCCTGGTGGATGTTTTCGTGGTAATCTTTTAACTTACCATGATCTGAAGTGTGTGAATGATCTGGAGACTTAGCGGTCGACTCGAATAGTCCTGCTGATAGGTGGGCGAAGAAGACTATAAGATATTGCACAGACCCGGGAATAAAATTCTCAGTTATTCTCAGCTGGCCAAATAAAACAATGAACGGACTATAGATGAATGGGATGTATATCAATACTACACCATACTGTTATTTCCAGGTGCTTTGTCAATATGACGACGAAGAATGCGAATTTCCAACATCACTACCTTTGCAATAGGAAACGATCATCTTGATGCACATGATGCTGTACACAAAACAGAGATTCTTTAGAAAAGAAAGAAGTTACGTTGTTCATATGGCTTCATTGAATACACTTTTGTAGGTGGTGGCCAAAAGAGCTCTTTTGTGGGGTTAGATAAGAACAGTTCACTTAATGAACTGAATTGATTCTTTTTATAACTCACAGCTCATTAAGAAAGATTCAGCGCTTCGCAAATTGGATCGGAAAGGAGGAGTGAATCAAAAGTAGTGTGCAAGGATAGAGCGAAGAGAGGAAAGAATAGAACGACCAGGGAGATCGGAAGAATATACTTAATCCAGGTGTTAACTCTTTGGACTGATGACTTCCAACTGTAGTTCTAAAATTCCATGAAAACCTCCTATTTTACATCGAACTAACACTAAAATTCTAGAATTAAAAATGTTAAAAAGTTCGGAAATAAAATAAAAGTTAAAATAACTTCTAGTATGAGAGAAGAAGCATTCTTATTTTGCGTAAAGTGAGAATAGAACTTTTCTGACAAGTTTCCAACAACAGCTGTCAGTAGATGAACTCTAAATGAGCTAATTTCTCCCACTTTCCTAGCGTCCTTCGTGGTGTAGTGGTTCAGCACGCTGGGCCGGTATTCCAGAGGTCCGTGGTTCGATTCCCGGCGAAGGCGGTTGCACATTTTTCATCTCTCTGGCTTCCAATTAACCTAATGACTATACAGAGCTACTGATCAGTTTTGTGGAATCATCATTCGCTCGCTCGGTTCGGTTCTTTGAATTAGTTTACTAGCAAACAGCACATCTGTACTACAGATGTCTTCGCACGTACAGATATATGCGACTGCGCAACACACTCAATTGCCTAATCTTGGATTGATGACATGGCTGATCCCTAATAGACACGCGGAGAAGATGTCTGTTGTCTCGGCCTCTGTCGAGTAGGGACCACTGAGATCCTCAGCCTCTGTCTGTGCAGCCTTCTTATACCAAATGATCGCAAATTCTCGTAGCAGATTTGATTTCAACCAAAAGCGAGCAGCTCGGACTGTGAGTTATGGTACGCATGGTATGATAGGAGAGCTAAGATTTCCCCCGCAATCGAATTCTTAGACATGCTACCTTACATTTATATCTTACGCGTCAACCTCCATAAAAAGAACTAGTAAGCGAGATTTTCGCCTAAAAAATATGGCGAAATTTGTGTTATGTAATGCACTTGCCTGTAATATGCACATGTGTGAAATATAAATAATTTGCGTACCCCGGAATAGTCTTTTTTAAAGAAAAGTTTCAGGTTTATTCTGAGCCTCTTTAATGATATATAAATTTTAAGTGCAGAAGTATAATTAGAGTACTTTACATTAAGGAACACAGTGTTATAACAATGAAAATGGTCGAAAGATCTTATCTCTCATTGACTGAAAACAATCTCTTCTTATATAGATGGTAATATTTACTGAAACTGAAAACAGTCATTCTTGGTAAAGGTTTTTCTTGAAGATTTTACGCAAACGCTCTACTTAAGATTCTAAATAAGAAACTCACTTTTCCCATATGTTTCCATATTGCGACATCTTTGTCGAGAAATCTGTCGTAAACACCAAATGCGTTTCTTGCGAACGTCGTTTTGTCTCTGCGCGGCTTGGGATGCAGGTTCAAATCTTTTTCTTTCAGTCTTCTCCTTCTCTGTCGCATATTTTTCATTAAATCTTCTATCTCCTCTCCAGAACTCTTATTTGCGCATTTCCTAAAGTATTCAACCATGTAGGTCGTATAACATGCACTCGATTTATTTCGTGGCTGCATAAAGGAAAAAAAAAGATTGAACATTCAAGAATTTATGTCGAAAATAAAATTAAAAAATATTTTCATATTTTAAAGCCGTACCAGACTATTTTCAAATCTATTAAAAGTCTAACACAAGGAGCAGAAGAAGAATTTTTAACAGATCTACGTTTCTGAACTATATTTAGATGATTATGGATTCTTGAAATAATTCAAAATAAAAACCAAATGAATGTGCAAATTGCGGTTAATTTAATTAAAATCAAAATAATCAATCAATCAATTAAAATGCTCTGATAGTGCAGGAAAATAAAAATTTCTTAAAAACGTTTTTTATTTAATTGATAATTGATATATAATCTGATCCGATGTGAGCCTAAAATAAGTAATTATAAAAGTAAAAAATTATAAGAATTCTCGAGAAATAAATAAAATCATTGGGTAAGTAAAAGCGATGTGCTAAGTAAATACATTTCGAACTAAAAGATATTAAATAAAGTCGACCAATGATTAATCAGAGTTGCTGAAATTCTTTGTAAATCAAAATTGCATGGTAAACCAAATGTAAAAAATATATATATATATATATATGATAAAAATATGTATGTAAGTTAACAAATATATAAATTATAATTTAATTTAGCAATAGCCCCTTAAGGCTTCATTTGGCATTTCCCCTCTCTGTTCTAAATAGTAATCTTTTTCTGCACTGTGTTATTTCGAGACTAATCCCTGCCATATGACGCTTATTTAACGCTGGTGATGATGTAAATTGGACTAAAACATCTAATAATAATTTTATAGCAGTTTTAATTATTCAGTCAAAGGCATTGAGAACCGAAACTAACTCATCCTGAATTAAGATTTCATCCTGAACAAAATTTACTTGCTTTCAACACTTCGGTCTATCTGAACTGCTGCTTGATGCAAAGTAGCAGTTCTTACTATTGCTTTGCATCAAGCAGCAAGCAGCTTCTTACTGTAAAGCTTTCAAAAATGTAAACGTTTTGAAATAGGCACGAGTAGTGTGCTAAGTTGTTTGCGGCAGGAACATGGTTTTTAAAATAAAGATAAATATTGAATTTGTGTTCGCTGCTAAAAGGGCTCTTCATTATGCATCAGCATTGTATGCCATCAATATTTCTACAAGAACATAACTTCTAAGTTTCCTTTTATTACATATATATATATGTATGCATAAATTACATATACATATACATATAGTATTTCAGTGTAGATGATTTGAGGATCAGAAAATAACAGTTAACAATGAAATGCTATTTGTAATTACTTGGAAAGACTTTAATGCGTAGCTAAAAGGACGACATTCACAGACAGACATGGCCGAATTCTATATCATTTTATTGCACTTTCAAAGACACAATATTGATTCTCGTATTTTTATTATGGCTACGATATGCGCCCTCACACTTTTGAAAACTTACATTCTCAGGTAACAAAGACAAAACACAGCGACAAGCACGCTTCTAAGCAGCTAGGCAAAGTATGAAGAAAATTGCAATGCGCCATAGTAACATTGGTATTTATAGTATAACGTTCCTTTAATTCATTCGCTTCCACGAAAACCGTCGCACTGCAGCATGGCTGCATAAACACAAAACGGATTACTTTTCAGGTAGCGCACTTTAGATTCTCGAAAGGGGACGTAACCAAATTAAAATCAAGTATTCGAAGGATAAATTAAAGTTTATGGTTTTCAATTTTATATTTTTTATCTTACACACACACACACACACACACATATATATATAAGGTTAAGAATAAACAAAATAGAAAAAAAAACAATTAATTAATTTGCCTTTGGCAGCAAATGATTGAAGGTCTAATGAATTATGAAAAAATATTAAAAGATTACCCTATCATAAGGAAAATATATACATATTTCAAATATTATCTTTCGATAACATGATATTTTAGAGCATTATAAGCGTCCATGCAATATAAACGTTATAAGGTTTTAAATTTTATTAAAATAAGTTATACATCTCAAAATTTGTAAGCGTTATAAGCGATACGTTATCGTCCAAAAAGCAAACATTCGAAATGATATTTAGCATCCATACGTTATAAACTTTAGAAGTATTATATAAATAAGTTATAACCATTATAGATAAGCGTCATTTCTAGAATTTAAATATTAATAGAAATTTAAGACAATGTCGATTTTATTAGGAATTCTACGGAAGAGGAGTGGTCAACTTCTGCATCTATAAATTATTATTTTTAATTATATATTTTTTGTTGCGCTTAAAACGATTTTTATGGAACGCTTATTTGTTGGTTGCCCTATTTAGCTTCTTCTCATCCAAAGGACATTACTTATGTTAGAATACAGTAAAGCATTCAAGACTGATTTGTCTTACCGAATGAATGCCTTTATGGGCGATCTTAGGAAAACTGTTTCATGTTCATATCATATATATGGAAGACCACGAAAACTTCCTGTAACCCCTTTACTTTCGAGAACAGAGCTCAGGAGGAAATAGCACTTTTTATTTTAGATGTCTTTTCAAGCTGTGTGCTGAGATGTATGAAAAATTTCCGAATAACACAATTACTTAATTTCAAATACAGTGAAAAGAAACAGCATGCTTCACAGCATTCAGTTTCAGTCAAATTTCAAAATAAGGCAAATAATTTCTTGACACATGCTTCATAATTAAAAATTATGCAACCAAATGACTTCAAAGACATTAATTTTAGTATAACAATGGTTTTTAATTAATAAACCCGGATTTTTATTGGCAGTATATCCACGGACGGAGAAATTTGATTTTTAAAGTTAATGATGTTATGCATCGTTTTTGACATACAAATAACCATTATAAACTTATAAATTACTTGTGTGAAAATACTTCCGACGTTCCAAATATAGACAAAAAAAGACAAAAAAAAAAAAAAAAAAAAAAAAAAAAAATTGCCTTAGTGTGCGATAAGTTTCAAAAACTCTAAATTTTGGAATCAAATATCTTGGAATCAAATATTTTGTACAGGAGTCAAATTTTGTGTTTTAATTTTTAGAACAAATATAAGCGTTTACTGTCTACAATTTTATGAACCAGAGAATTGTACAGAAAATTAAATTTCGTAGTGTTTATAAAGAGCGATTTTTTAAAATTTTAAATTATTATGACGTAAATATTTGAGTCATTTAAAATACAATTAGAAGTAGATATATTCAACCAAAGATTTTTAAAAATAAAAGCCGCGTAAAGATTTTTATGTAAAGGCTACATAGATTTTGACTACTTTCATTCTCTTTTTCTCGTAACGTAAAATTTAAAACTTTAGAGAATAAAGTGAAAGAGAGGTATTTTTGCGTTAATAAGGAATTAAATTTCTTAGAAAAAAGATAATTTATTTTAAAACTTATTATAAACTAAATTTAAAGATCAGAAATTAAATAAATATTTTTCGTTTAAACAACATTTTCTGTTATTTTTCTGCTCTATATGACAATAGTTGCTAAAACACTGAAATCTTTCTATATGGTTCTTTAGCTTGTGAAGCCTTGCTTTGTTTACAGATGTAAGTGTTGTCTACGTCTGCTAAACGCACAGCTGGTGTTTGATGCTATTTAGCATTTGATTAATTCTCAAACAGAATTAATGCCTCAAACAGCCACGCGATAATTTATTTAAAATTCATCGCGACTGATGAAAGCTAAATGCTAAGAAAAAAATCTTTTATCCCTTGAGATTGGTTTCTTTTTCCTTTGTATTAAATTGTTTCCTCAGATGTTCTTCAGCTTGTCTGAGCATTCGAAACTACTACGTCAGAACTCGGCTGACTCAATTTCACAATCTGTCTAAAGCGATAACTAAGGTCTTATTCATAATAGAAACTGTCGATAAGAAAACATATTGCAATATATCAAAAAACTGATTATCAAAATTTTGTGTAATACCACGAGTATTTCTCAATCACTTGATTCACCAGAACAATGGAAAGTTTGAGTTGGAAGGAAATTTTTCTTAAAAGAATATATTTAAATTTAAAGTTATATCCAATAATAAAGTATGAAATTGCCATGCTCAGGAAGATCTATCGAAAGACAACTGTAAAATGTTTGAAATTATAAGGGGTATTAAAAATATGAGTACATGCTTTATTTCCTCAAACCTTAATTTTGAATGCACACTGGGTGGTCCAAAATGTAACAAAAAATAAAAATTCAGTAATTTGAAAAGTATAGTAAGCTTATTATGCTTGTTTTCAGAGAAATGTACAGAAAGACATTGATCATCTTTAATACTGAAATATTTTATTACATAATTACAATTTTTTATGATGAGTGGTGCTTTAGTTGTGTTAGAAGTTCTTACAGTGATGCAACCAGGATTACGAACGTTGCTGGTGGGGCAGGAACGGCAGGGATATTATTGCTGTTTATTACTCTGTCCGCGTAGGTTATACCACTCTGAAAAAGCGAGGAATGTGGTTTTGGGAAGCAAGAACAACTACTGTAGCTTGTTGTATGTGTTAGGCCACAGTGGCAACAGCATGGCGGTTCGTTTTTAGGCTTAGTACAGTCCTTGGATTCGTGGTCCCCACACAGATTTTAATTGTAAATGATAAACCAAAAGGGATACTTCACTTGGAACTCTTAAAAGAGTTTCGAGGAAAAATATAGAAGCACAGTACTAAGCATTCATACATCTATTTTAATGTGAAGTAATGCAGCAGATATTAAAGCTATTTCTATTATATCTAGACATGACATTCATTTATATCAAGCCGACAGAATAGGATGACTTTTATAACAGCATTTCGTTTGTAGAACTTCAAAAGTCTGGTAAAGCAAGCATGTTACCAAAAAAGTGCACTGTTCATGATGATGAAGCACAGCAGCAAATAGCAAATTCGGAAACACATTATTGCTCTACTTCTTACCACACTGTTGTTACTTCCAACATTAATGACCATTATTTACTGATATACCACAGGGAAGTATATACAGATTAAAATGAATTTAGTTTGGTTGAACTATACAA